AATACCAGCCATAAACTGTAGCACTGTCAGTGTTATTTTCTGCTGAGCAGCTACTGGCACAGGAGAACAAAAAGCACCTGCAGCCAGCTCCTGGGTTGTAATTTGAGGTTATCGTGCACCATGAACATTACCAGACTCTGATGTACATGTAAACAATGAGCCAAGTGTAAGTGTTAGGGTTGGCTGTGTAAATATCCTCGAATACTGATAAATGCTCGGTATGTCCAACCAATCACTTTCCCTAGATCCACTTTCCTCAAACAAAAAAAAAAAACCACAAAGGAAATGTAAGTACTTGTTAAGAATTTCCGCATAACTTTCCCTGCACAAGTTGAAGACATAAAGGAGCAAAGGAAACCGTGACAGCCCTGAGGTATATAAAGAAAACTGTATGAAATAAATGCATATTCACAGTGGCACACGTATGCAAGCCAGGGACCAGGGTGGGGGTGCAGGATAAGTGTTTTGTTCATGCCCCCCGGCCATGGAATCCCACTCACTCTCTGAGGCTGCCTGTCCCCTGTTCCCACGCCAACAGCTCCCTCCAAGAAACCCTCAATTAACGTACCTGACCATCAAACTCCTGCCACCCCCTTCCCGCACAGAACTCATCTCCTTCCTCCCCAGCCAGTGAAAAGGCCTTTCAGAGGACACCAGCCAGGGGTCTTGGCTGGACCCCGTTGGCCGGACCCACCGATAACCTGGGCCCCGGGAGCCTGGTGAGACTGCGGCACATGGAGGACGTTGGAGGAGGTGGCATCAGGCCTGAAGGTCATGGCTAAACCCTGCAGAACCACAGCCGGTCCCAGCGGTCGTGGCCAACTGCTGGCAGCATCAGAACGCTGTAGATCCCAAAGTGGGGGCTCTTTTAATAGCCTATTAGCCACTCAGTTCTCCCCTCTCGCTCAACGTGACATTTCTAGACTTTAGTCAGTGTGGATTAAAAGAGCCTAAAATGGGTTAAGTGGGCTGAGAGGTCCCAGAAGATGCTGAGCTCTGGAAAGCTCAAGTCATGTTGGAAAATAGTGCAGTTTCCTCCCGGACTCCAACCTGTGATTAGCACGCAAAGGTTTACATTTTTACAGCTAATTTCAAATTACAGAGAGACGCGTGTATCCGTGCGCCAGCAACCTACAAATTACATTCTAAAGGCAGAACAACGGCAAAAATAATAATAATGTGATGTCGTAATGCTCACTTGACCTTTTTTTCCATAAGCATGAAGGTATTTGTCTTTCACTGCCGTGCCAGATTGCAGAAAACACCGTGCCGCAATTCATGACAATCCGGCTCGCAGAAACACGACACCTCTGCTCTGCTGCACGTTAACGGTTGCATTGCCGTGGCGGCGAGGCAGCAGGTGTGGGCGCATATGCACGCCTCGATGTGACCCTGGGCTGGGAATCGCAGGACGATGGATGCCATCGTGCTGGCTGGGACACAACGGCGAAATGGGGCAGGAAGCACTAGATCCACAGTAATAATCCAGAAGGAAGGGAGATGCATCTGTGGCGTCCCAAGATTCACACTGGAAAGGCCACAGTCCTCCTGCCCTCCGGAAATATCCGGAACTTATATGACAGCAGCAAAACAAGCCATCAGATTACAATCATCTATCAGTTAAACTTCTCCTTATTCTTTTTAAAGCTTCCTAACTTCATTATGTGAAAGAAACACCTAATAATTGCACCCCCACCCCACACTCGACCTCCCTTAGCCACTTGCAATAAATGCAGGGCAGGAAGGAAGCAATGATTTCAACGGCCTATCAATGGTCTGCATAAGGTTCAAACCACTGTCACCCCCTTGGGGCATGATGGGGGCAAGAGAGGGCGCACTGTCCCGTCTCGCCGGTTCGGCTGTAGGGTCCGCTGAAATGCAATCCCCCCCCGTCTCATTGGCTTTGGCCCCCGGTGCAGGGCCATGGGGCCAAGCAGAGCAACACACGGCCCGCGGCTGTTCTGCACCGGCCCCTCGGATTGTGGGTAATTCAGAAATACCTGGAAGCCGTGCCTTTGGTGTCTGGCTGTAAATTTTCCTTTAAAAGTTTCTGAAAGCAGCAATCCCAGATTTAATGACAGCGCCCCAGAAGTAAAAAAGAAAAAAAAAGGAAAAAGAAAAAAAGTCACCAACTTTCCTTTGTGCAGCATTACACCCAAAGTGTTTTTGTGCCAGATTCTGCTTGTTTATGCTTGTTTACCGCTGTTGCCACTGATAAGAAAGCGGGGGGTACAGTCATTCCTCTTCCTGTCGGACCTGTTGTCACCTCACCCATGTGAGCCTTCAAGTTGACAGCAGCAGGTGATTCAGCCATTTTTCACGCGCGGAAAAAAAAAATCGATAAGTTTCACACAAATCGCCAAGCTCTCTGTCGCCCCAACTATTGCATTACTGGCTTTCTACATCTGTTTATGACAAGGGTTGTAAGAGTTGAATTCATTTAAAATAATTGTCAATCTTAATGTCAGTAATGTCCTACTTGTGTAATGTGTGTTATTGCATATTGATTGTATATTGTATATATCGCATATACATTGTACGCGTGTTATTGCTCATTATTCTGTCAATGATAGTTGTTGTTTCTGGGAGGAATGCAAACAAGTGGGGAAGTACGCAAGCAAGTATTTCACTGCTCGTGTACAAGTGACAATAAAGCTTTTGAATCCTTTAAAACTTATTTCTTGTTTTTATTATATTCTTTCAGTGTAAGCCGTTTATCTCTGTTTAGAATTGCGCACATACAATCACATCCACTGCACAGCTGTAATTCAGTGACCAGGGCTCCTCTTACACCTTTTTCTACTCACTGCACTATGTACGGCGTACAGGCAGAACCCAGGTTACGAATGAGACCCCTTCCCTAAGTCTGTCTTTAAGATGAATTTATAGGTCAGACAAAAAAGAATACAATACATACTATAAAATAATAATAACAATAATAATGAGTAATAATGAAAGAATTGAATGTGCTGTACCGACAAACTGCTAAAGCATCACAATGTTGTCACGAGAGTCATAAAGCACTGCATGCATGTGTTATTACGAAGCATTGTGTTTAACCGGAATTTTTAACATGATAAACTTTCTGGCAGCCTGTTAGTAAGTATGAATTGTCTGTAAGTTAGACGTTATTAACCTGGGGCCTGTATCTATGTTCAACTTATTATTGTCTTATGCGTTTTGTCCTGTTCCGGGTAAAGCTGCAGGAAAATGCAGTTTTGTCTCACTGTATGTCTGCATATTTTGAAATGGACTGTACAGTTTTTGATTTTACCTATTTGATTGACTCAGTTCAATAACTCTTATTAAGTAGCAGTTTGTTTTGCTTATGTCTCATATTGGGTAGTTCATTGGCTACCTTCAGTTGAGCTACTGTGCATACCCATGTTTTTTTCCAGAAGGATCTAGGCATACGCGCAGTTTGAATCAACAGGCCTTTCAACAATGATATAAAATAAATCACTTTTTGGAACATAATACAGCAAAATAATCATTCAGCTGTTCTGAGGACATTGCTCCAGCCTCATGTTTAAGTGCTGCAAAAAGAGACTAAATCGCGCTTATAAGTAGCTTATATTCAAAAGCAGAGCTAGCTTAATTGGTAAATGATCGTCTGATCGGAATATTAGTAAGGCCCAGGGAAGTAATTTGGTGGACGTGAGAAAGGTAAAAGCGATTGCACAAAAATAAAGAAAAATACACTGGAAAAAAAATGTTAATGCAGGAATTTCAGGGAATGACAGATATGTAGGAGCTAAGGGGCACTTAAGGAGGGAGGCTTGGCTATAGTAAATCACAGCTAGAAAGTGCCCTACTATTTGGCCTATAACATAATCCATTAATTTGGGCGAGCAGTTCCGCTGCCTTCGAGACTGACTTGCAGCGCAATGGGGGGGGGGGGGGGCTTGAGCGCTGAGGCCAAGTGCTTCAGCCAACAGCGATTACAGGTGATAATTGTAAAATATTTGTGTCCCCCCCAGCTTTGAAGTCCTGGCCGTTGTCTGTTCTTGTCCTGAGGGATGTTCATCCCTGATTTACGGAGCCGGTCCCTGTGCAGACACCAAAATTACACCATCCCTCACCTCACTGCCGCCACAGCAGAGGCGGCCATCATTTCACGGGATACGGCTAATTGTAGCCACGGAGATATCCGTGGCTCAGGTCAGGCGTGATAAGTGTTTTCTCTCTACGGTGAAGGTGTAAGGCGAAATGTATAAATGGCTGGTTATCTGATAGAGCCACAATTTGTCATGAAGGTGCTGGGCCAATTCTTCACGGAACGCCCCAAGACAAACGATAGCATCCGGGGGGAAAAAAGAGGAAGAGAGCTGGAAATGAAAAAAGTAGTTTGGGAAGCTGGGAATATATATTTGCAGGCCTGCTTTTTTATAACCACTGATAAGTTTTGACAGACTTTGGTCACTCACTGTCTTGGCTACGGAAAATGTTGACTGCGATGACACCGTATGGCATAAACCAGGATTAACAGCCCCGCTTAAAATACAGAAAATGTTTCTTTTTGTGGTGTAAAATAAAGCCGGCATTTCCTGCTGCATCCTGTGCACATGCTGCAGAGAAAACAGACAGAGCTGACGTCCTGCTCTTTGTAGGAGATTCGGTGTAGGTATCATAAACAGGTAAGATAAAGCATCACAAATAACACCCACTGAAGTAGCGAACGTTTATATTTCCAGCCTGAGCCGGGACCGGCACCCGAGCGCCTCCCTGCAAAAGCCCCACGCCGTTTGCCAGGCCCAAGTCACATTCTTCACACGGCGCCTTGTTTTGTTTTTGTTGCAAAGTCTGCAGCCTGACTGAAGCCTGCAGCCAAGGAGCCGCAAGGATCCGGCGAGAGGAGCTGGAGGAGTGGAGGTGGGAGTCGCCCACGTTTGCCCGCAGGGAGCTCGTAAACACCAAACACGCCCCCTTCTCTCTCCTCCTCCCCCCGTCGCAGGTAGCCACGCCACATGGCTCGCCCTTTAAAAAGCCTCATGCCTGCCTGGCTGGAAGGGATGACTCTGCTGACACATAGAGGAGCGAGAGCCCCTGCAAGAAGCGCGGGCGTAAACAGTGCAGCGCGAAGCGCTAACACAGGGAGCTAACGGAGCGCTAACATAGGCAGTTAGCAGAGTGCTGACACAGAACGCCAGCGCAATTAGTTAACAGAGTGCTAATGCGGAGCTGCATGCAGGAAGTGTGAGCGCTAACACGGGGCGTTGACGGAGTGCTAAGACAGGTAGTTAGCAGAGCGCTAACACAGAACGCCAACGCAGGCAGTTAACGGAACGCTAACACGGAGCTGTACACAGGCAACGCAAGCATTTAGCGGGCGCAGCTAAGCGAGTTAGCGGGCGCAGCAAGGGAAGGCTAAGTCACGCACGCGCAGCTAGCAGGACATCATGGCCAGCAGGGCCAGCTTCACCGGGTCTGAGCTCTCCGAAGAGGAGGCTGATGGGAGCCTCGCAGGCATGGACAGTGGCAGCCCTAAGGAGTCCCACGCGGAGAGCGAGGAGAGCCCCAGCGAGCCAGATGAGGCCAAGGCAAGCAGGAAGAGGACGCGACCGGCCCGTTCCAAGGCACGCCGTGTGGCCGCCAACGTGCGTGAGCGCAAGCGCATCCTGGACTACAACCAGGCTTTCAACGCTCTGCGCGTGGCGCTCAAGCACGACCTCGGCGGCAAGCGGCTCTCCAAGATCGCCACGCTGCGCCGCGCCATCAACCGCATCTCTTCGCTCTCTGTCTTCCTGCGTGCCCATCCTGCCGCTGGAGCGTGCGGCCCGTGCGCCCATACCGAGTGCCGCAGCCAGCCGGAGGTGCCCATGCCCAAGCCGGCCGGAGAGAGGAGCTTCCCGGCATCGGTGGACATTTACCCAGCCCGGCAACACCAGCACCAGCCCCAGCACCAGCACCAGGTCCACGGCCACGTTCTGTCCCCGGAGGAGCCGCTTTATATGGATACCTCGGCTTTCCTGGGGCCGCTGTCCCCCCACTTCCCTGACGGCCAGTACTGCGCACCCCATGGACACTACGCCAGCCCCCGGGATGAGCTCCGCGCTCTGCCCTATTACGGCAACACCTGCAACGCCAGCCCAGGCTACCAGTTCGGGAGCAGGGCCACCTGCCACCAGAATCACATGGACAACTTGTCTGACTCTGCGACCTCGTTGCCCTTTCACTGGCAGCTGGGCTGCCTGCAGGGGGCAGGCTACCAGCAGTCTCTGTCCATGCACTGACAGCCAGGGACGGGCTCTGAAGGAGGGACCCCCCCCTGCCATGGGCCCTGAAAGATCACCAGCAAACTCCATCTGTTTCAAATGCGAACTATGCGTCGTCAAAAAAATAAAAACAATAATAAAAAGAATGTCACTAACAAAATGCCAGACGTGTCCGGGACTTGCCGCGATTTCAAAACACCCACTTGAAAACTTTCGCTCTGTTGCAAACGCGCTGATATGGCTGACAATTTTAGTGGAATGAAAATGAGCAGGGACGAGAATTTTAAAAAAAATGCTAAAAATCAATTCAGGTAACATTCAGTCGTTTTGCATGGTCTGTGATGATGATTTCGGAAATGGTCCCCATGAGATAAACTTTAGTGTTTACCGGCATGTGCCGGATTCAGACGATGGGGCAGGTGGTCCAGATGCCGAGAGTGAGGAGGATGTGGTCCCTGCAGTGTTACCTGGAGGGACCCGTTTCCTGTTTACAGAGAGCCACACCAACCTTGTAACTCGCACAAATCCCCAGCAAAGTCACTTGACAGCGTAACAGAATATTTTCATGTGATTTCTATTTTTATATGACTGAAACTTGTTTTTAACGTTGATTTTAATTTTAATAAAAATGTGCCAAAAATCAATGTCTCTATTTTCTATTCTTTCGAAAAACTCACACAAATTTAAGTTTGTAACAGTTAAAAAATATAGATGACAATTCAGTGCTGTATTTATGTCTGTATTCTCTACATATTTAATGCACAAACATTGCAAAAGACACTATTAAAATGACTGCTTGAATTAGATGCATTCATTTTCAGCCAATGTATAAATGTTCATTTGCTTGCTTGAAAAGCTTCGCTGAGGGTCGACAGTTTAAGCAGAAATTATGGGAGATGCTGCCTCAGCTGTCAGGTAGATGATTCCTGAGGTTCTCTGTTTCATGACATTTGGGATGTAGATGCACTCTCTGCATGTTCAGCTACTTCTTGCTACTTCGTTGGAAATGCAGTGCGTCTCCATGCCTAGTCCCATTTAACGCTGGACCATAAACCTGCAGAAAGACGGGTTTTTCTACACTGGTTTCCTCTCAACACACAGTCACAATGTCATAATCCCCCCCCCCCCGTGCTGCACTTATCACAGACAGTATCATTCATCACAGTAAAGGAGCGCCAGTCAACGCAGAATATAATGTGCTGTGAGGAATTGACTGTGATTAGCATGTGGCACTGTGTGACATTTAATGCTTCGAAGAGTGACAGACAGATAGAAGTGAAATGGCTGCTTCTTTGTTTGACAGGATATTTGACTTTATGGGATGTTCTTCTTCTTCTCCTGCATGGCATGTGTAGCTACCAAACACAAGTAGAAGTGGAATAAGGTGGATATTATGGCATTACTTTTCGGTAGTAGTGATAATAATAATAATAATAATAATAATAATAATAATAATAATAATAACAATAATAATGCTTGTCCTATTCGGCGGCTCCAGAGCCTATCCCAGAGGCTACGAGTGCAATGCAGGGAGGACCCCAGGATAGGTAGCTGACCCACCACAGAACACACTCATACACCATTCACTCACACTCACACACCATTCACTCACACTCATACACCATTCACTCACACTCACACACCATTCACACACACTCACACACCATTCAC